CCTTCCATTGTTCGTCTTTGTCTCACGCTGGTTTTGTCCTGGTAGCATGACAGAGGCATATTTGTAAAAACAACCCAGGTCCTCCTCGGCTTCCTAAGCAAACCTGCCTTCCCTAGAGGGAGCCTGCTGGGCGGCAGCCTCATGAACCATCTTCTTAGGTTAGCCTTGGGGTGTCATGAGCTTCCCCTCTCTCCACCCGTGAAAGCGCATCTCTCCTGTACGCTCAGGGCCCCGTGCCGTGCTGTGCCTCTCATTCGCTTCCATTAATAAGCCACACCCTTAGTCTGCAGGCAAAGTCAGGGTCTGGATTCCCCAAACCCAAAGCCAGGTTCAGGGCTAATGTAGAAAACCCAGTCAACTGACTCAGCCCACAGCTTTGCTGACAGAGACCATGGGGAGCAAAAGCCTTCTCCCCACCGGAGCCTGAATGTTTGTAAGCTAAAGCTTTGCCCTCTTCAAGGTAAGCCTTCTCCGGGGCAGAAAGGCTTTTTTCCCAATAATCTAATCCCCGTTCCAGCTGCCTGCTGAGGTCAAAGCCGTACTCACTTGGGTTAGGTCAAGGCCAGCTGAGAGGCCTTGTGCCCTGGCCTCTGCCAGCCGAAATCCTGCTGAACAACTGCAGTAGGCACAAACTGCCCAGGTCAAGAATCCTCTTGACCCTTATCTTTAAGCCTGGAGCCTTGACTGCACCAGAAATTTGATCTCCACGTTTTTTTTTTTTTTAAGCCCCTAAATGTCAAGTTCTTGTATCTGGCTTTCCTAGTTTTCTGAAGGGAAAATTTTAAATTTTAAATTAATATGAGTTTCATGAGATGATTTTTAATTACATTCTTTCTTGCCTTTCTAAATTCTGTACCCACCGAAAAGGAATCAGGAAACTAGTGCTCCAAAATATGAGCTTTTTTTTCTTTCTTTCTTTCTTTTTTTTGGAGACAGGGTCTCACACTGTAGTTCAGGCAGGCCTTGAACTCACGATGTAGCCCAGGCTGGCCTCAAACTCTCGGCAATCCTCCTGTTTCAGCCTCCTAATTGCTGGGATCACAGGTGTGTGCCACCATGCCTGGCTCAGCATCAGCTTTACTTTTAAGGCTGATTGGAGAATATGGTTTAACTAGTTACGATTTCCCTCTGGAGCAGAACGATGTATTTAGTCGTAGGCTGGGTAACCACAGATCCTGAAGTTGAGCTGCACTGGATGGCTAGCCCACCCGCAATCACACTGCATTCACTGACTGTCCATTTTTTCCTTCTGGACTAATAATACCCCCTCCCGACACCTCCAGCTGTCCACCCCGGCCTCTCACAAATGTCACCTCTGCACTAAGTGTCCCTGAGTGTTCTCTGCTCCCACTGGGCCCCACTTCTCTTTCCTGAGTACTGTGCCTCCTTTATTTCAACCGATGGCATGTTTCCCCTGTATTTATTTGATTTTCGCCCTCCTACCACACTGTGGCTGGTGTGGAGTCCCCAGCTGTGTTTTTGCCCTTGACCTCATGCTTCAAATGTAACAAGTGCTCAACAAATATTTGTTCACTTGCCAGATATTATTATAAGCCAGTGGTGCTAAACCAGGGGTGACTTTTCCCTCTAGGGGAGTCCTGGCAATAGCTAGAACGGCTTTTGGTTGTTTGGTTGTCCCAGTGGGGAGGAGTGAGGGGGCTGCTGCTGGCACCTGGTGGGTAGAAGCTAAGGGTGCTGCTAAGGCCCCTCTAGTGCACAAGAGCGCGCCCACAATAAAGAATGATCCTGCCCCAAATGTCAGTAGTGTGGAGGCTGGAAAACCTCACCATAGACTACTGAGCGCTCCTTTTGATTAGGTTAGCGAGAAGTCAGAAGAGATCAGTATGCCAGGGTGGCAGGAAATTCTCCCCGGGAAATGCACGCCTTTTTCTCCTGCTGCTACTGCTTTAGGAGCTAAGGCTGCAGTAAGTCCGGTGCAAAGCTCTTTCCGAATGCCGCAGAGGTGCCCTGGGAGCACAGATGGTATTTTCGCCACTTGTTGGCTTCTGAGCGTGGCAAGTGACCTCCCAGGAATCCTTGAAGTGCTAGGAATGTAACTCTGTTAAAGAAGAAAACCCAGGGCTGCTTAAGCCCAGCAAAATGTCAAAAGGGAATTGTGCCCCTTGCAGGGAGCAGGGCAATTGTTCCTGAAAGCGTTCTCTCCTGCTACTCCAGCCAGAGAGAAACTTGGGCGCAGGCTCTGGGATCAGCGATTCGAGGGGACCTGAAGCCCTGTTGCCTCACTTTCCAAAAAAGTGCAAAGGAGCCTGAGAACGGGCTCTGTCTGGCACGCGCTTCGGCCAGCAACTCCTTTGCAGGAGTCTCATTCGCTGGCGACTCGAGGCACGTGGGTCACTTGACAGGAAACGGCAACGCGGTCAGAGCAGAGGTGACCGGCTCGCGCTCGCGCTCGCGCTCGCGCTCACGGGCACCTCTTGCGTTCCTACTCACCCGACCCAACCGGTTCCCGTGACTGACACGGAAACTGAGTAATCTATGCCCTGAAAATGAAAGGTAGGCATGGCCTGAAGGAGTCTGACAAGGCCAGGAATAGGGGCTGACATTTAAAAAAAAAAAAAAAACTTGTCCTTGGGGCAGGGTTAGCTGACAGGCTGGCTGGGACCTAGCAGCGGTGTGAATAGTTTGAAAGAACAACCTTTAGCGCAGTTGGCAGAGATGGAAATGCCAAGCAGAGGATTCCAAGAGGCACCACCAGAACTGGAAATTGTGGACATTTTCCAATTTTTGTGACACACACACACAGAGAGCAAGGTGTGACTGCCCTATCGGATTGCTCTGCCTTTTATTCAGGAAATGAACCCTGTTTGGGGTCTGCACGTTTGACAGAGTGCCACTCACTGTGATTCGTTCTGCTCAATTTTGGTGAAAACTCTTGCGGACAAAAACACACAGAGTACTTGGCAAATTGTGAATTGCAAAAGTGTCTAATGATGACAGTAATTAGGATAACGGAATAATGTGTGTGGAGTGGATGGCTGGCAGGACTTTATGTATATTAACAAAGTATTAAAAAAGATCATTTAAAAAACCAGATAGGAATCCCCAAAGTAACTGCAATCCTGTCAGCAGGGAGCTGGAAAAGGACCAGCAGTGTTCCTGGGCGATACATATTTATGTCTGAGTTAAACTAACAATTACTCCAAATTGGATCACTTGCCCCAAAACTCAGTTTTCAGTTGTTCGTGAACCCCATTCAGTCAGTCATTCCATTATTCAATAAACGTGTCTCTTTCATTATTTATATTTCTATTCAATTATTCCTCCTTCTACTCAATATTTACACATTCCCCTACTGTGGGCCAGGCATTGTGCTAGAATCTAATAATATACAATGGCAAATAATCTCTGCCTTTGAGAAATTTAGACTCTAGTGAAATAGTCATTCTTTCTTTCATTCACTGAAGGACGCATTTACTGTGTGCCCAAATGTTTTGGGAATACAGCCGCAAAAAAATGCAGGATCCTCAGGTAATGGAACTACATCCTAACGGTAGAAGGAAGAGCACGAGCAAGGGTTCTGAGGCAGCTGTGAGCATGCTGCAGGCCAGGTAACAGAAAGAGTCTGGGACCAAACAGGGTGGAAGGGGTAAGCAGGGACTGGATTATGTGCCATTCCAGAGGGTACGGTCCACAACCCATGTTCGCAACATTCATGCGCGTACACAAACATATCTTCCTGTTAGACTACACACTTCCCATTAGAGTTAGCTGTTATTCAACCTCAATAACTTCAGGTGAAAGTTACTTATACTAGTATCTGGGGAAAGCTACATGATACCTTTGTTAGAGCTGACCTGAGATCTAAAAACTAGATAGCTGCCTTTCTTTTCTTGCCAGGGGCTTCCGTCTTGATAAGGTGGCAGGAGAAAGAAAAGGACTCTATCCTTGCAAGTCTTCAGCCCTCTATGTCTTCCATTGGCTTCCAAACCAGAGGCCGGGAGAAGAGTTGCTAGTCCAGGTGAACTGTCGTGACGATCAAGATCCGGGGCCAAGAAATTTAGGCTGTGGAATTTACTCTCAATTTGGCAGAACCATCTGCAAAGTTTGAAACGCTTATGTTTGATGTGTCCATGGCGTCTCCTCTATGACAGTCTTTACTAAAACATTATAGGAGAAGTCTCTTCTCTCTACATAGACTGCCGCCCTAGATCATCCAGTCTATTCACTGTGGAAGAGTCACTAGGTCTGTGTTTCTCCATATGTGTACTGCAGCATAATATGAGACTGCAGGGTTGGTTTCTTTGAGGTTTTTTTGTTTTGCTTTGTTTTTAAAGAAGCAGTACCACTGAGACAGGAGGATTTCAATTTCCAGGCCAGCTTGGGCAATTTGGTTAAAACCTGTTTTAAAACAAAACAACTAGGCTAGAGATGTAGCTCAGTGGTAGACCGTGGGTTCAATTCCCAGGACAGCAAAAAAAAAAAAAAAAAAAGACAGTGCTGTTATTTTTTATTAGCTTTTAAAAGATATGGTTAAAACAGAAAAGAAAACTCCTAAACAGCCCCTGTGTAATTCTCAGTAATCTAACCCAGGCTCCACCTCTAGGGAATCTTCCATAGGTCCTGGGTTCTAGACAGCCAAGTCCAAGACCAAAGCGACTACAACTCAAGGACTACAACTCCCAGGAGACACTACGTCCACATTCTCTGCGCACGCTCGATTTTAGTGACTGCATAGGGCTTCGAGCCCGAGGGGGCGGGGCTTGGCCTGGACGGCGACCGGGGGGCGGGGCTGGAGGCGGGGCCAGAGGGGGCGGCGCTGCCGGCGCGGCCCGGAACACGCTAGTGGAGCGGAAGATGGCGGCGGCAGCTGCGGCTGCAGCTGGGACCCCTCTCGGGCTTCGGTGGAGGAGCCGCTGGCTCTGACCTCGCTCTGGCTCCTGTGCGAGCGGCGGAGCGTGTGCGAGGCCCCGCGCGTCGGGCAAGGGCGGCGGCGGCCACTGCGCGCCGCCTGGAGGAACGCCCCGGCGGCGGCGGCGGCGGCGGCGGCGGCGGCGGCGGCGGGGACTACGGGCTGGTAACGGCGGGCTGCGGCTTCGGCAAGGACTTCCGTAAGGGCCTCCTCAAGAAGGGCGCGTGCTACGGGGACGACGCGTGCTTCGTGGCCCGGCACCGCTCCGCCGACGTGCTCGGTGAGTCCCGGCCCGCTCCCCCAGCCCCGGGCCCGCCTCCGGGGACTCCGGCGCGGGCTTCCCCGAGTCCCGGCGCGCACTTGCGGGGAGCGCGCGCGGGCGGCCCGGCGTCGTGCCAAGCGCTCCGCCGCGCGTTCTCCCCTCGGAACAGCCCCCCGCCTTAGAGAGGAGGAAACTGAGGCGCGGAGCCGGGCAGCCACGTGCTCAAGGTCACTGCCTGAGAATGTGACCCGGCTGTCCCCGGCAGAGCCGCGCTCGCATTAGTCCCGCGGCGCGGTCGGCCTCGGGCGACCTGTCCTCCCTCCCGGGGAGACACCTGCGGGCTCCTGGGCTCGCTCGGGCTCCCTCCCTCTCCCTGGCTCCCCCGGGATCCCTGCCTCCTTGCGCGCTCCTGACGCCACGGCCTGGCACCCGCTGCGGGATCCCGAGCGAACAAGACCCACGAGCCCCTCACCGCGCGACGGCCCAGCCGCATTCTTTTCGCCGCCTCTGTCGCGACCACGTCTTCGTCGTTTTCGGAGTCCTCACAGTAGGGGCTGGTGGCCTGGTGATAAGTGCTCGCTCCCAAACGATCCTGCCCACTTGGGGTCACTTGGGGCTGCAGACGGTCTCCTTGACCCAGAATAGAATGGTCGAACCTGCCTGCAGACTGCTGCCGAGAAGGCTTTGAGAACGGGCCCAGGCCACAGGTGCTTCCCAAGGCCTGTCCTCGTTGCACCGTGGAGGAGTGGGAGGCTGGGGGGAGAGTGTGCAGGAGGGGCTAGGGTCCACACGCGAGCGCGAGCCCCCGGGAGGTGCATCCTTGGAGATCTGTGTGCCACAGAATTGTATGCCATTGACGCTCTTTCAGCAAATAAAGCCCTTCCTTTGGAATTGAAGGACATGCTGTCATTGAATTTAGGTTCAAACGTCTCTTTTGTTTTCTCAAGTGAGAGCGAGTTTTCTGTTACTTTAGATTTCATACGGCAAGGTAAAGTTTGGCATTGGAACAAATGGTTCTGCAAGTTTTTTTATGACAGTAATTATTTTTTAATCTGATCTCAAAATAACTGCCTACTAGCTTCGGTTTTACCACATGTAGTGTTTATGAACATGAAACTAGAAAAGGTTGTTGTCAATTTAATTTACGATGATCCCGTTACCCGGGTTTAAAAAAATGATTTAATATTTAGGCAACACTGTTGACATTAATAGTGTCAATATTTTGAGAGACAGACTCCTTAGAACATGAAGGAATTCACAGGTTCAGATTCTAGGAACCACTCTGAAGTCAGCTTAAGAGACTCATTATTTCTTTTAAGAGACTGTCAGTAACTATTTTTCTACTACATGTAGAAGTACTTCACTCAGTGAGCTTGTGGCCTATTTGGCTTTTAAAGTGGCAGTCAGAATGAGGGTGTAGTTCAATGGTAAGTATGCTTGCCTAGCATGCCTGAGGCCCAGTTTGATCCGTGGTACTACCACCACCAAAAAAAGTATCTACAGTTGGACTCATCATACAACGTGATAAGGGAGCCACTGAAGTTTACCCTATAAATCTGCTTATTAAATAGACTTTAGTGAAAGAGCTGTGATCTCATTAATGATTTTGGAATACAGTCTCACCCATCCCACCCCCACCTACCCTCGTCCACAGTTAGACTTTGCATGATTTGTTACCTGAGGTCCAAAAATGTTTCATGGAAAAATTCTAGAAATAATGTTTTCAAAATTGCGTGCCATTTTGAGTAGTAGTATGCTCTCATTCATGGCATGCAAATTATATGTACTACCCATTACCACTTGGTAGACACTTGGTTATCAGATCTATTAACCAATTGGGAGGGACCCATTCACATAACTTTTATTACAGTGTATTGTTTACATGGTACTATTTTATCACTAGGTATTGTTAGTCTTGCTGTACATAATTTATAAATTAAACTTTCTAATATGTATGTAATAAGAGAAAACGGTATATATAAGGTTCAGTACTATCTGCAGATTCAGGCATTTACTGAGGCCTTAGAGAAGGGAATTTAAATGTATCAAATTTCTGTGCTGGAGCTTGATTGTAAAATGTTAGAATACTACCTTCATAATGGAGTGGCATTAAACAATATGGGAAATTGTGGTCAGAACCCATTCTATAAAGCATAATTTCATGCTCTGACATTCTGGCACAAACCAAGCCTAATCTGAGGTTCATCTTCGCCACTAGTAGTAGCTCTGTGATTTGCGATCTTGGGTGGAGCTTCGGATGAGTCTCATTGTCCTTATCTAGACCAGAATGAAGGGAGTGGACTACCTGACCTTTATAAGGGTACAGCTTTTGACTGTAGGATCATATTTTTCCTTTTGCTTTGCAAAGATTGCAACTCTAATAACATGTGTTACTTCCTCTCTTGTTTACATGACACTTTCTGTAGATTTCTTCTGTTTTGTATCTAACTAAACCAGTACAGTTGTTCAAGATTGCTTTGATTTGCATCCTCTGGCTGCCCACAGGCTCACTGAGACAAAAGTTCACAAATGCTTTCTGGGGCTTCATTGATTACATGTAGTATATCCATGGACCACTTACCTACAGGTTCATGCATGAGTTTCATGTTGAGATCCCCAGCTCTGTACCTTTCCTAAAGGAGAGCCATCAGCAGAACCAGACACGTGGTTGGTTGTGTGACCAAGGGAGTGATGGTCAGCCAGACCTGACAAAGATCACATGTGCACATGGCAGGGATGGGGACAGTGAGGGACAGGTTCTCCAGGACTGTCCTGTTGTGGAGGAGCTCTTCCAGAAAGCTGTCTTGGGAGTCACCTGAAATAACTTCCTAATCCAGTTCATACGATGGTGACTTTAATTTTATTGACATTATCCCATCACAGGCTGGTCTGATTACCTTGCTGTGAAAAGTGAGGAATCTCAAATGAATCTTTAGAATTGCTCTCTGTTCTGGAAGTTTAATTGTAACCTGAATTGGCATTAAAAGGCTCTTTTGAGCTGGACATGGTGGCACACCCCTCTAATCCAGTATGCTGGGAGGCTGAGACAGGAGTTAACACAAGTTTTAGCCTAGCCTGTGTGATTTATTAAGACCCTGCCTCAAAATAAAAAACAAAAGGCTGGGGATGTAACTCAGTATGAAGGCTCCAGGTTCAGTCTGCAATACCGAAAAAAAAAAATATATATCAATATATAC